CAGAAGCCCTCTTGCTGTGAGGAGACAGTGCTAACCACTCCACCACTGTGCCATGTTTTGACACATTTGAGCCCCTTTGGTGTTGTGGTCATGACTCGTGTACAATCTTTTTTTTTTTCTAAAAAAAAAAAAAGAATTTTAAGCCTCTGGCATGAGAGGTTAACATTTTCTATCTGGCAGCGCTGGATGACATAATAAAAAGAGCAGCAGTCAAACCTCAAAATGATGGACAGTCATGTGGAAAGCATGATGGAAATCTGACGTTCATGTTGTCTCTTTAACATACAGTAACCCATGTGTATCAGTAACAAGGACCATTACCTGCATCAACACACAGAGGTTTTCATATGAATGTAAATGATGCCAGGAGGTGTTTGAGAGTGCAAGCTTAAATTGTCAATAACCTTAATAACCATAATTCATAAAACCAAACTATATCTGCTACAATGATGGAAATTAGTTTTAACTTTTTATTTTTAATATTCAAGTGTGATACGCATAAAAACAGCTCTGCACAGTTTTATTCACATATTCTAGCTTCAGCATGCAGGTTCCTGTTTGACAAATACACACCCAGCCACCTGGAGCTGTTATCGTCAATAAGATCATTAGGGGGGCCACATTAAGCACTTTTATTTTTAACTCTCTGCAGCATACAGGACAGGAAGGTTACACCCTACCACAATGCCAATGATAGAAAATGAACACAAAACACTGCTGTTTTGAGTTAAAACAATAAAAAGGGCCCAAGATGCTGGAGACAGAGGAGGTGGATGGGTGTTGGTTTGAAAGGCAGCAAGGCAAAGAGAGAAATTCAGTGTGTCATCAAGTCTGCCATTGATTAGAAGCTACTGTACAGTTCGGGCAACGGGCCAGCGGCTGCATCTCATCCCAGACTAATAAAAGTCTGTTGGGCCGAGTGAGCAGTGACTTTCTACTGAAGCTGCTGCTATAAAATACGCTTATGTAACCAAACGTTCCAGAAACATGACAGACAGCCGATCTCCTGACGCCACATCCAGGCTGGCCAGAAGTGACTTAATGCAATCGCTCATTCAGCTTTTTGGCAACCTGAAACATGTTCCTAGGGTTTGGTATCCATCCAGATAAATGAGTATCCACTACAGCTCCTGCTAGAAACAAAGAATGTAAGAGGGAAATTTAATTCTTGACATTTGAAAATCATAAGCTCCAAAATAACTACAAAATCCATCCATTTTCATCCGCTTATCTGGGGCCAGGTCGCGGGGGCAGCAGGCCAAGCAAAGCACCCCAGACGTCCCTCTGCCCAGCAACACTTTCCAGCTCCTCCTGGGGGACCCCTAGGCGTTCCCAGACCAGATGAGATATTTAATCCCTCCAGCGTACTCTGGGTCTGCCCCGGAGCCTCCTACCAGTGGGACGTGCCCAAAACACCTCCAGCGGGAAGAGCCCAGGAGGCATCCTGATCAGATGCCTGAACCACCTCAACTGACCCCTTTCGATGTGAAGGAGCAGCAGCTCTACTCCGAGCTCCCTCCGGATGTCCAAGCTCCTCACCCTATCTCTCAGGCTGAGCCCAGCCATCCCTAGACAAAACTCATTTCGGCTGCTTGTATCCGTGATCTCATTCTTTCGGTCACTACCCAGAGCTCATGACCATAGGTGAGGGTTGGGACGTAGATGGACCAGTAAATCAAAAGCTTCACCTTCTGGCTCAGCTCCCTCTTCACCATGATAGTCCAGCGCAGCGCCCCCATCCCTGCAGAAGCTGCATCAGCCAATCCATCTCACACTCCATTCTACCCTCACTCATGAACAGGACCCCAGATACTTTAACTCCCTCACTTGAGGCATTAACTCTTCCCCCAGCCCAGAGAGGGCAATCCACCAGTTTCCGGCAGAGAACCATGGCCTCAGATTTGGAGTTGCTGACTCTCATCTGGATCACTTCACACTCGACTGTGAACCTCCCCAGTGCATGCTGGAGGTCACAGTGTGATGAAGCCAACATTAAAGGGATAGTGCACCCAAAAATGAAAATTCAGCCATTATCTACTCACCCATATGCCAAGGGAGGCTCCGGTGAAGTTTTAGAGTCCTCACAACACGATCCCAGGGGAGAGGGGGTAGCAACACAACTCCACCTAATGGAGGCTTACGGCGCCCCACATTCAAACATCCAAAAACACATAATTGAAACCACAAAATATCTCCATACTGCTCGTCCATAGTGATCCAAGTGTCCTGAAGCCCCGACAAAAAAAGTTGTTTGGAAAAACGTCATTTGAACTCTGTTTTTAGCCTCATTGTAGCCTGTAGCTCTAACTGCCACTCTGTACACCACGCTCATGTGTGCGCTTGCGTGAGACCATGAGACATGGGCACCGCCTTCATGTGTGTCTCTCCTGATTGAACTAATGTCTATCTATCTGTCTCTCTCCACTAAAGAAAAAGTTTGACCTGGGTTATAGTAAAATGAGCGGGTCGTATGAGCAGGAGTTATGTTGCTCTGCCGTTCCTCCTCTACTCTTCCTATTGTAACTTCTGTCACCCATCACGAACCATCAGACCATCTCCCGCAATGCGCACACAGAGCTGGGAATGTTTTTGTGAGTTCTAAATAGGCTAACATTACAACAGGCTTAATGACCTGGCAACGCTGATAATCATTGTAACTCAGTCTTGTCTGGGTGTGCTTGGCGAGGAAGGAGAAGGAGAGACACATCTGCTGTGAGTTTATTCTGAGAAGCAAGTCGCTGAAAAGGTCTGAGCAGTCCAGTGTTGAGCCCATTATTTCTCTGTGTTCCTTGTGTTTTGTCTTAACATTTTGGCACTCTTTTTCTCCGCAGATGCTGTTTAATGAAGGCACTGAGCCTAGAGGGGAGGAGTTTAAATATGTGATAGGGCCAGCCCAGTGTCATTTAAGGAAATAAACCTATGGGCCAATCTACCTGTGTTTTGGCCTGTTACAAAACAAAGTGAGAGACAGTTGTGTCAGCCCAAAAGTCACATTGGCCCAGCTGGAAAGTGTCCCCTATGCCAGATGGCCAGTCCAGACCGGACACCAGTCTAACTTGTTGCCTTTGTTTACCCATAGAAGCTCAACAAAGGACACCTTGCTGTTTAAGTGAAACCTTTTACCTCATCTAGGGGAGTGTGTTGTATCTCAGGGAATTTTACAGTGATAAACTCAGCTGGAATTACAATGTTCGGGTTTTGTTGAAACCGCAACACATCCAACATGATCATGACTTGATCGTTCATGCGGTAGAGAGAGTAATAAAATGTGTTTTAATCCATGTGTTCAAATAAACCTATGTCGGTTTTAATCTGGTGTTTTGCTGCTTCTTGCTTCTGTAAAGTTTCCTCTGCTGTAAGAGTCCAGGAACTGCTACAGAGAAAATGAAGTCCAACTCCAAACACACCCCTGAAACACACAGATCGTATCCTGCGGTGGCTGTTTTTGTACTCTGTAGCGAGCTGGTCATTGATCACTTAAAAACCTCTACATGCACACACACACACGCAAATGCATCGATTTTATTTAAGGGTGAGAGTAACCTGCTGTAGGTCGCATTGTTGATAGTGTGTCTTTTCTTAGAGAGGGCTGGGAAATGCATGCTGTCTGTGGGGAGCTGTCTCCACATGGAGAGAAGATGCTATGGTTACTGTAAGCTCTCAAAGGGCTCTTTGGTGTGTGTGAACAATAAGACACATTTATCAAGTGGCTTGCTGCTACTTACTGCAAAGCAGAAGAGTAACCTTTACTGTAAGGGCAGCTCTCAAGTGATCGCATGATAAATCACATGTATGCTCAGAGCAGAAAAAGCTGATCAGAGAGGAGGTATTGTTTACTCTTTATACTCTTTTTACTTTTATTCTTAAAGCCTAATATTGAATCTAGTGATATGTTATCTGCAAAAACACAAGTGGTTTAATTTCCCTAATCTCTAGTAGCATGTGCAGTAAAGGGAAATTAAAAACAATATAATATATTTCTATTTAAATAGTACGGAAGCGTATTGCATTCCCTTGACAAATAAAAAAAGCCCTGTTTTTCTGAGTAATTTTTTCTGTTTTTCGGTGTAATTTATTTATTTTTCTGTTTTTTGGTGTATTTTTTTCTGTTTTTCGGAATAATTTTTTCCCTGTTTTTCGTGGTATTTTTTTTTGGATCAATAAGGGTAAGGCACGTAATTAGTTACACACAGGGTATGATAATCTAGCTATGTTTTCGACTGCATCCTTCTAGTGTAGGCCTATCACTCAATGTAAGGTTAGTGAGACATCATAGAAAACTATAATAACATAATAAGGTGACTTTAATGACTTCAAGACAAGTGCAGACAAGATTAAAATTATGTGATTAAAATCAAAATTAGCTTTATTTTAGTTGTTTGTACCTCTGACAAGTACTAAAAAAAGTGGTGAGAGGTCCTATTGCATGAGATAACATTATTTGTTATCAGTAATATTTCCCGCAGTCTTTTCAGAAGCATATCTCAGGAGGTGTGCACTCCCTGTGTTTCTTCAGGCAGGGTTTGTTTGCTCTCACAGATCATCCATTGAGTGCTCTGTGTGGAGTCGCTGTGTCATTGTTCATGTATTATCTACAAGTGACAGAAACATTTTTCTTACAAAAGCTGACAATGACGCGAGTTTGACTTCCACCTTTAATTACAAATTTCATGTGCACATGCTCATAGTATGTAAACATTTTCTTCTTTGGGGCCCCTCATTTGTTTAACAAAGCTGGAGGCCTCTGCAGGTGCAGAGTGTAGTTTTGTTTACCAATAGTTTCTCAGATCTTTAAAGTTCACAAGTTTGTCATTTTGATAACTGTGTTATCAGACTGATTGTGTGTCCCACACCTGATCACTATCATCTGGACCACCTTGACTATCATCACACTAAATGACAGAGGTGTAGCATGATGATCACAAAGGCAGTCCACAGGAACATGCGTTAACTTTAGAGGTGGTCAGCAGTGGAAGCAAACACAACTGGTTTCTCTTGTTGGGCTCAGGAGGTTATCTATTTCTCAGCATTCACATGTGTGTTTAAGTGTCAAACGCCTGCCACAGTTGGTCTACTGACAACCAGAGAGAGACATCCAGCCCTTTTTACTCTGTGGAAAGGTGAGAACAGAATGTTTTATTCAGTGGTGTTAATCTTAAATGAATTAAGAATGTTGACATGTTGGATTTCTAATTCATGGTTAGAAGTCTCTTGTGCTGCGTTACTTACAATAATTCTGTTTAATGCATTTCTTTAAGTCTAGTGTGCAGGATTTAGTGGCATCTCGCTGTGAGGTTGCAGATTGCAACCAAATGAAACTTCTCCCATGTGCCAAGCATGTAAAAGAACTATGGTGGCCGACGCAAAAGCAGAAACACAATGATTCTTAGTTTCAGCATAGGCCATGAAAATAATAGATTTAGCTACCGTGATGTCACCCATTGGTTTGTGGACTCCTGTTCTGAAGGAGTTTGGCATTTTGGCCATCACCATCTTGGTTTGTTGGAGTCAGAAGTGACTATTTGGAAGGGAGGCAGGAGCTGTGGAGGAGCGAGGAGTGGATCTGACTGAGAAGCCAAGGACACTATAGGGACAGAGCTTGTCACTCAAAGCAGCCCACCCTAAATTATGCGTAACTTTAAGCCTTTAAGCCCTAAACAGATGAGTTATATAAAAATCCACCCCCTCTGTACAGTTATGTGGAAAATTAGGTATGGAGACCAAATCCTGTCTGTCTACCAGGCTATTGATATGTTTATGTCTGCTGTAGTTCGGCATTTTAACATCAGGGTCTATGGGGATTGACTGGCTTCTGGAGCCAGCCTCAAGTGGCCATTAGAGGAACTACAGTTTTTGGCACTTCTGTGTTGGCTTTATTTTTTAGCCCTGAAGGTTACAGCTTGGATCATACACTTGTGAAAACATAGTTCTGAATATTGTATTTAATTTCTTCCAATATATCAGCCTAAATCCTTCACACTGGACCTTTAAAATATCATTCTAGGTTCAAAATATTGTCAGAATTGATCTTTTAATAAGCCTCGTCCTCCATAGTTCCACAGTTACACCTTTAAATTCTTGGTTGTATTTGAAGCCATGGGTCCTTCATTACAGAAAGATACAAAATCAGGCTTCTTATTTCCAACTGACAATTGTCAATTGTCGTGACTGTACTGACAGTTGTTTCTAGCTACTGTAGCTAGCTAGCTAAAAAAGACAACTTTTGGGTGGAGCTGCTGGTTCTAGTGGGGTTTTTTTTTCCCTATTTAGTATTCCCATTTTAAATGTTTTGGCAAACGATGTCCTCAATATTATTTAACAGAGAAAACATGCCTCTCCTGGATAATGTTACATAATAATTTCACCTTCGTTTCTGAAACAACAGAAACAACATTTGAATGCTGTGTAACATTTCAAGCCAGCAAAGTCACACAGCATTAAAAACCTTTTTACCATGAGCTTCTTGATGTGCAGATTTATTTGTTTCACTGCCAGATACTTCTTCGATCAGACATCCACTCTACTGGTACGTTACCATTTCTCAAAACTACCCTACCCTTCAGCTTCGGCCTCGGCTGCTCAGGAGAAGAAGCCAGTCAGAGTTATGAGTCAGAGTGGTAGTGAATTCAATTTCCCCAAAATTAACTCAGAAATTAAAAGTGAAATAACAGTAGATTTTAAAATCCATTTTCTCAACACAATCCTTGTGATTCCTGATTGGATGTTTCATGTTGAAATGCACCTTAGGAGTCATAGCTACCTAAAATGTTATGTACACAAGTTTGTACGTTCCATTTTTTCAGCAAGTAAACAGGTATTTTCTAACACAGTTGTTAATCTTTGGTACCAATGATTTACCTGGGAGTTCAATGCCAGTCCAAGCTTTAATTGTGGGTCATATAAAACTGACTCTGTGAAAAATGAACAGGACTTTTACTTGTGCAACCAGTGGCAATGCAGTTATCAAAGTGATCTCACAGTTTCTTTTTCTGCTTCCACAGATGATGATGCCAGCTCCCAAGAAAACACTATACTTAGCAAGTATGGCTGCTCTCGGCCTTATCTGCTCTATTCTTGCATTCTCTCTGTATTTTGAGCCTCCATCTCCTGTTTGCCAATCTACATTAGCCGATGAGGAGTATGATGAAGGCATGGATCCAAGTGAAAAGCCCATAGTCCTGCTGTGGTTCTGGCCTCTCGGTGTGAAGTTTGATTTTAAAGTTTGCTCTTCCTACTTCAACATTAACAGCTGTTTTTTGACTGCGGACAGATCCCTCTACAGCAAAGCACAGGGGGTCATTTTCTACCATAAAAGCATAGACTGGGGTTTGAGAAACATGCCAAAGGGTCCACGTCCAGCTTTTCAGAAGTGGATTTGGTTTAATGTGGAATCCCCGACGAACACGGCAAAGAAACCCCGTCTGACCAACCTGTTTAACTTGACGCTGAGCTACAGAAGAGATGCTGACATCACGGTGAGGAACGAGCTCACCATCAGGAAGACAGAAATGAAAGATGACTTCTTTCTGCCGAAGAAAGACAAACTGGTGTGCTGGATTGTTAGTAACAAGGACAAAGCCACTGGAACAGCTTTGAGAGAAAGATATTGTCGTGAACTGTCCAAACACGTCAAGATCCATGTCTTCGGTACAGCCTATGCAGGGTATCGTTTGAGCTATGAGAAATATTACTCAACCATTGCTAGCTGTAAGTTTTACCTCTCATTTGAGAACTCAATCCACAGAGACTACATAACAGAGAAGGTTAATGGGCCCCTCGTGGCAGGGACGGTCCCTGTAGTTTTGGGTCCACCGAGAGAAAACTATGAGCAGTTCCTCCCCTCTGACGCCTTCATTCACATAAATGATTTTCCTGATGCAAAGTCGCTGGCGGAGTTTCTGCTTGACATGAAGGACGAGGCGTACATGCGTTACTTTGAGTGGAGGAAGTTCTACACAGCTACCCCTCATCTCCTGTCAATCAACAATGAATTCATTCAACCTGTCTGCCTCGCCTGCGACCACATGTCAAGAGACAAGGATTTCCATGTAGTTCATGACCTTTATAAGTGGTACTCTACTTGAAAACGTCATATTTATATTTAATGGACACATATAAAAGTGGTTGTCAATCTTCTCATCTTATTCTCACCAAGAAAGCAAATGAAGTTTAACCGTTTGAAACCTGGAGCGACATCACTTTTGTTGTGCTGCTTTCAGACGCCTTTCACAAATATTTGTACCTTTGCACCTCGAGCAAATTGGTACAATTTCTTTCAAAAACATCAGGGAAAAGCAGTTAGCAGCTTGGTGAGAAATGTCCCACAGGCTGAAATTGGGAGAAAAGAAAAAAGCTAGGAAAAATTAGATATTTATAATTCTTACATACTCAGAATTTTGCACAGCATTATAAGAATTTTTAAGTTTTTTTGCCAGGTCATTTCCTTGTTTGTTTATTTTTAACTTTTTTTGGGGGGTAATTTCTTGCAATTTTTGGGGGTAATTTCCTCTTTCGTTGCTCATTGCCTTCTTCTGTTTTTGTTAAAAAAAAAAAAATCAAGCCAATTTGCTCAGGTTTCAAAGGGTTTATTAGAGTTTTATGAACAGGTCAAATGTTATTCTGATAAAACAAAAGTGGTAATTTTCTCAGAAATGTAAAGCCCATTTGATCATTATCGAAAAACATTTTTTTTTAAGTATTCTTTAAAGTCTTCTTTTTACCTCTAAGTGTTTCAACTTCATCAGTGTAAACATCTCCAGCTTAATTGTTCAGAAGTATTGACGGCAGGTAAATCTGTTTGTTTGTATATTGCACAGACGGTCAAGAAAATCCAGTTGACATGGAGACAGGGATGCTTCCGTCTGTTTGTGTCTAGTATTTGCTTAGAGTCATCTGTCATGTTGTTTGTCCACTCCTGCTTTCTTTATGGTTTACACTGACACACCTTAGTGTGGGTGAAAGGTTAGCTATTGAGCTGAAGAAGATGGATGAGGATGCAAATATCTCGGGATAAAACATGGTATGCTAGGCTGAGTTCAGACTGCTTCTCTGTGATTGTGTTGTCACACATGTAATGTCCACATACACAAATAAGAATGAATGAAAATGGCTGATAATGGCGATATCTTTTATGAATTTTGATAATGTTAAATTCACTCTATGTGGTAGATGTGATAGTTTTGCTCTGTTTTTAATTTTATACAATCTTATCGACTAATTTAAGTGATTTTACAGTCAGCAACATTTCAGGATATCTGCACAAGTAGTCATCAAATAAAAACTAAATAAAGTCTCTTTCTCTCTCTCTCTCAACCAAATGAAAAAATATTATAATAATAAACATTTTCAAAGTCAAATCTCTAAGTTTCAGCTGCTTGACTGCCTGGTCTGTGTTGGTTCAGCTAATGAGTAGGTGGAGCATCAGTCAGATGTCACATCTGAAAGGAAAACTCCATGAAGGATGAGAGAGTTTCCTTAAGCTGTGTTTCACTTATCAGACCCGTGCAGCTTCAGTCTGGATCCTGCAGGATATCTACATGCTCACCTTCCAAGCAGCAAAGTCATATTTGGCTCCAAGAGTACGCAAGTATTTTGACCAAACTCTCCACGTTTGTTTCTTTGAAAATGATCATTGCCACCATATCTGAGTGGAGGAAGCCATCCAGCTTTACTTTTCATGCTACATGTGGTTAAACTGCTTTAGATTATTTAAGGCAACCTTAAGATTATGAACTCTTAAATGATTTTGATTCAATAGTTTAGACTCTTCAGCTTTATGTGATACCTTCTTTGGGAATTCTTAAATGGCAGACTGCTAATAATTCAATGAGGGAATGTGTTGCCAGTGATTCTTACACAGGTTTCTTCTTTCCTTGCAGGGTTTATATGGCCACTGGTGGAGGAAGACATTAGATATTTACTACAAGTAAAAGTCCTGCACTCACACACTTAAGTAAAAGTACAAAAATATTAACATCAAATATATTTATGTAGAATGTCCCATTTATTTTTTGTATAATTAAAGGTGGAGCTATTGTTGGAGTCTTAACCTGTGATAATACATAATAATTTATTAGTTGATTTCTATTATGAGTTAAAAATCTGTAAAGTAACTAAAGCTGTCAAATATATTAAATGGAATATTTGCACCATAATTTACCTTAACGTTGTACTTAAGTAAAGTACTTGAGTAAGTATACTTAGTTACATATGGCTATCATTTTTCGTGTGTTAAGAGCCACCCTCACGGTGACTCTTGCTGTGGCTGGATTCATAGTTCTGTTATCAATGTACTATAAGTCACCTCCATCTCCAAAATGTCACCCACGCCCGGCTCAGTCAGGGTGGCTGACAAACCCGGCTAATTTTTCCGGCACGTCAGTGGTTACAGAGCAGCCCAACAGCCCTGCTGTGACAGAAAACACAGACAAGCCCATACTGCTGCTGTGGTTCTGGCCTCAGAATAAAAGCTTTGATTTTAAAGACTGTAAGACGCTCTTCAAAATCGACAGCTGCCACCTCACAGATGATAGATCACTGTACTCCAGAGCTCATGGAGTTTTGGTATTCCACAGAGCTATCAAGGATGACCTCTCCAACCTTCCCCCGTCACCTAGAGCCAGATTTCAGAGGTGGATCTGGTTTAACATGGACCCACCTGCCAGCACGCGCAGGATAGCAGGCATTCAAGGCCTTTTTAATTTAACCATGAGCTACAGGAAGGATGCAGATATCCACGTTCGCTGGCGACTGACTCCCAAGAAGAACATGGATGATTTTGTGCTACCGAAGAAGGAGTGCTTGCTTTGTTGGATTGTGGATGGCGACGACCTGCACACAAAATCAACGGAGGGATACAGCTACTTCAGAGAGCTTATAAAACACATCGAGGTGGATGTCTATGACAGATCCTCTGCTGAGTTCTCGCAGGGTGAGAACTACTTCCTGACTATCAGCAGCTGCAAATTCTACCTTTCCTTTGAGGAGTCAACTCACAGAGATTACATCACTGAGACGTTCAACGGACCTCTGGCAGCCGGCACTGTGCCGATAGTTTTGGGCCCACCAAGAAGGAACTATGAGGATTTCGCTCCAGGTACTTCCTTCATACATGTAAATGACTTTCGTGATGCTGCAACACTGGCTGAGTTCCTTCTGACACTGGATAAAGATAATGAGGCTTATATGAGATACTTTAATTGGCGGCGATTCTATACTGCCAGACGCCATCCTGTTGAGGAGAATCACGAGTTTGCACACGCTATCTGCCAGGCCTGTCATCATGTGGGCTTGAACAGTGCGTACAGAGTTGTACCTGATCTGTACAAGTGGCTCTTACTGTGATGCTGGTATTGATCACCTGTTCCTCTGAAGTGGTTAAAATACAAACTGGCATCTCGCCATACAGAGTACCAAACAGTTAATAGGAATCTGACAGCCATGGGCCCTCGTAAGGTTTCATTTCATGTTTATCATGTGTCAACAACAGCATTGTATGTACTTGGTGTGTTTAAGTGGTGTACTCATATGATCTATCGTTCAGAAGCTGTTTCACTGATGCGGACCATTTTAAGATACAACCACCAGAGCAGGCTCAAAAAACACTTCTATCGGACAAAAAACACACAAATAAAAAGTTATAACTCACCTGTGAAGTGTTATTATAATCCACAGATGGATTACATGCCAACACATATGCTGTTTATACAGTCCTGCTACACTCCCAAAGAGCCAGATGATTGAAATCCAGCTAAATATTTAGTCCACACACATTTTTACATCCATAGATATTTCCATAATATCCTGCATTTGCATGTAAATAAACAGACTCCTCACTGGAGCCAATGGAAGCTTTTATACTGACAGTCCAGGCTTCAATAGCCAACTGTGCTGAAGGTAGTGCCTTCCTACTTTGTTTGGCCTCAGAGCCAATCAATAGCATCCCACTGGCCCAATGGCTTATGGGTCTTGTAGTCAATGATGCTCATCACCTCCAGAGGAGTTTTTAACTGTTTCTTGTCATCACAGTCTATTAAGAATGTACCTAAATGATAAACAAATGGCTCCTATGTTGTCTTAAGGGGGGGAAAACAGTCTTTTTCATCAATTTAGCATTTCTGGAAGTGTTTTTACATACAGTAAGTTCCTAAATAGACATTTCTGCCTTTGCTGACTTATTGTTTTACTCTACTTTGTTAAAAGCACCTGTACAACACCTCAGAAAACACAAGTAAGCTGTTTATTTTCTGTGATATTGTTATTATCTTTGTTGAATTCTGACTGTGGGGCGTCATGATAGGGCTCCATTGTGTTTTCCAGCTAATACCTCCCTGTTGTAGTCATCTGCAGCATTTTTTTTTAAAGAAAATATTGAAGCGAAAATGAATAACATTTTTTTATTTCAGTGTGTTGAAAATATAACTCAATGACAGAAGTACTGGCAGTGATTCTGACTGTTGGGGGACAAAATTGAGTGTTTCCTCTCAAATGTGACCATGAATATACATGTATTAAAAATGGAACAACAGCCTTCAGTTACTTTGGGTTTACTTTGTGCATCCAACATTGAAATCCTGTCATGTTGCCTACAGATTCTGCATACATATACAGACATCTGTTTATGGAGATTATGTGATGTACATTATCATTCTTGATGATTTAATACACCTAATCTTCTTTTAAAGCTGCTGTCATTTAAATTTTCTTTACTGTTTGACGTGATGAAAAAGATGATATTACTGAAACACTAAAACGTTAGAGCTGTATTGGACACTGAACTGCAGTCAGACGCTCAACAAAAATCAACAAAAACATTTTCATACTTACCTCTGGGGATTTTTTTTGACATGCACATTGTTATGGTTTTATTTGCCCTGGGTGTGTTTGGTGTATTACCCACCTGTTCTCATCCCAACTCGTCAAATACCACAGCTTTGTCAGTGGACCTAAACATCAAAATATGACATGCCAGCTACCCTCCTGCATCACTTTTGGACAGTCTGGATGGTGTGTCAATTTAAGCTTGTTAAATGCATGGTGTCTTTTCAAAATACACTTCCATTTTCACAGGAAATGTTTGTGCTTGTTATGTGCATACAGTCACTAATACTTTCTCATTAAAATAACTCCACTGACTTTGGGTTTCCCATGGGATATAAAGAGCCAACTGATTGGGTGAGAGTCCGGAGTTTGACACATCAACCATCACTCCTACCTGATAGGGACTTTCTCCCTCTTTGTAGTATGGTAGTTGCCTGCGGTGTTACATACTTCTGCCAGTCAGTGCATTTCATAACGCCATAAAAGTTGCCTTTGTGCACCAGTACCTGAAGTTGACATCACTGATACAGCGCCACTATTTGCTGAGTTGGGAATGAGGATGGGCTGGGATTATCAAGTTGATGGGGCACAAAACTACAATTGAAACTACAAATAAAACATTCTGAGTTTAAATAGGATTTAGTTTTAAATCCTGTCCTAATGCCCTTGAATGTGTCTTGTAAAGAAGTGCTTTGTTGTTGTTTATGAAGATGTGATACAAATAAACCTGTATTGCCACCTGTCATCTGTGATTAAGTCCATTTTTAATAAGCAGCACAATCAGCCTGAGGAGTGAAGGTGTTTTGGTGTTTGAATGTTTCGACATGTGGGCGGAGGCTGCCACCTCTGGTCTCCTGGCTACGGCCCTGGACTGCGCGCGTGTCTGCGTGCGCGCCAATTCGTGCATGTGTGTGTGTGTGTGTGTGTGTGTGTGTGTGTGTGTGTGTGTGCTTAAGTACCTCGGACAGCGCCAGGCTGCACACACGCACTTGAGCGAGCGGAGGAACTTCAGCGGAGCGCTCCCTCTTCCCAAACAACATCCAGCCGCAGAGCAGCCTCCTTCCTCCAGCTCTGTTTACTTTAACCTTTCTGCCCCAGTTGGACCTACTTGTTCGGATAACCCCTCTCTTCCAGCCGGGTATGAAACCATAGTAGAGCCGCGACGCAGCCGGAGCACCGAGAAGCGGACTCCTCTCTCGCCTCCTGCCGCCTCCTCCTGCTGGAGCTGGAGAGATGCCCGGGGCAGGATGTGCTCCAGCCGCAAGATCCTGTGGAGCCTGCTCCTGCTGTCCGTGGTGGAGGTGGGCTTGGGTGTGGCGAGCATCGTCCTGGGAGCCGTGGGCATCAGCTGGGTCCGGGGCGAGCACAAGCCGCAGCAGGGCGACGCGTCCCCGGTGTGGAGCGGACTCTGTGTACGTCCTGGGAACAACTTTGGTCCTTACTTTTCCTTATTTACATCCAGAGAGAATAAGCATCTTCAGGGTTACTGTGGAGGGCAGAGGCACAGCTAAAACTATTGGAACTATCAGCTTTTATTTACCACTGAAAAACATTCCTCACAGAGTATGGGCTGTATAGGAATTAAAATAAGGCATATATATGACTATTATTTGGCTTTATAAAGAGAAGGGCATGACTGACTACTCTGAAGGTTAACTGCTCTTTTATTGTGGTTTTGACTGGGATATATCAGTAGAAGTTTGGTTCTAATTCATCTCTTTTTAAAATTATTGTCATATGTTTATATAAAATTGCAACAACTATAACTTTAACTTAAAAAACACTTAAAAATCAGACTAAAAATAAACACTTTTCTTTAAAAAGCAAAGTCTCCCTAATAAAGGGCTTCTCTATGGTTCAATACTCAGTTTACATGTCACTTTTCTTCCTTTTTATAAAGCTTTTGCTCTGAGAAAGGTTAAGATATTAAATATTTTTGTTCATGCTGGTGGTTGTTTATCTAATATTAATCACTAATTGGAAGTTGTGGTTCATCCCCAAGTATTAAGACCCAGGGTGTGGTGAAGATTAAATATTTTGGTCATGGTTCTCCTTCATTGTGTTTGTCCGTTGTATGTTATAGAGACTCACACAGCCATTTGGCCGAGACGATTCTGTGCCGGAGCTAAAGATCACTTTCATTCATTCATGCTTGAATAGTTGCTCGGCTCTCGTAAGGGTCGAAGCTTTTTACACACTCACTCCTCTGCATATGTCTCCCTCTGTTGTGGTGCCGCTCTCAGCCTCATTGTCTTGATTTTGCTGCATAGCAATGAAAAGTTGACTTTCATTTTTAGTTGCTATATATAACCTTATAACCTTAACTCAATTACTGTACTATGAGTGCTGCTCCAGCTGAGGTAACACACTCTGACTTATTGCTGTAAGTGCCTGGAGCTCGGGTGGTATGTGAGTAGAGAAATAAATAAAGAATGAAAGAAGGAAACATCTGATTTTTGCAAAGTGTAAAGTATCTCAAAGACTCCTAAGGTGTGTTTAAATATGTGCAAGGAAAGCTAGTAGTGATATTACAATATAAAGGTTTGTTAGGCTTGTATATATGGGATTGTATATTTGAGTGTAAGTGCTTGTGTATAAAGTTGCTGTAAAGCTGTTATGCGCTGAGACAGGTGTGTGTTCAACCTCACAGCTGTTCTGCTGAGTCAGCCACCGTGTCTCGTGACTACCCAAAACTTTAGACCTCCTGTCAGGAACTGGGAGTCACTCAGATCGACTGACCGCTGTCCTAGAAGTAGATTGAATGTCACACCTTTGGTCTAATTGTCCTGCTGAAACAGGAAAAGTGATCCCCGTTCATATCTTGTGTTTGTCAGTACATGTTCAGCTGTGAAACTGTTTCTTCAAGATTACTTCAATCTGTTGTTTTAATATTGTTCCAAGTTACTGGGCAACGCTTTGATAACAGGAAGGCCATCTGTTTCATTCAGTGATTTTGCTGAGTGTGTAATTTCTAAATCAGAAGTGCCAGTCTTTGTTTAAACCAATTAATCCCTAAAAGTTTGTTGTTAAAGACAGACAGACGCTTTAAATCTACTGTGTATTGTATTTTATCTACATATGTCACACATCAAGGATTCAAGGATTGGGGCATATTTTCATTTTTAATCCATAATTAGTGGACGAACAAGAATCATTTTTGAAGTTAAGAAACTAGAACTCACATTTAAACGGTTGCAATTACTAAAACTACCCAAAAAGCACGAGACTCAGTAGATTTCTTTCCAGAGACGCCAACTTAGCAAACTCTGTCCTCTGATGAAGGCCATGAGATATGGCTGAAAGCTCTGAAAGAAATTAAGTAAGTGGATCTGAAGTTACTTTTAGAAATCCCCAAGTTCAAAACCTTCAACAGTAAAGGGTAACTTAAGTGTTTTTCAGTCTTGACCCTGTTTCCCCATGTTTCCCATGTCTAAGTGATTAATGGAGACAACTGATGTTAAAGCTGCTCTAATATTAGTAGTATTAATATTAATAGTCCAGCAGCCATGAAAATCACTGCTTAATGGGCAATTGCACACTGTCAGTTCACATCCACCAAAAGTGTTTGTTTTGCCACTGACAGGCTCAGATTGTTATTAAAAGAGTCCCTACAGAGATAGACCTCTGTGTCAAGAAGCAAGAAACAGCCCTAAAATCACTATCGCCAAACCCACCAGACTCCATTTGGATAAACAGACATTTTAGTATTGTAGAACAGACTACTTTTAAAGTAGACAGAAAGAAAATAAAACTCTCAGAAGCCACCTTGACTCGTCTTTTCAGTGCCAACAATCACCAGCTCTGGTTTGGTTGAAAGAGATCCTTAATTCACCGTTAAATGGGAAAACATGCCCGTTCTATACACGCTAAAATTAAGGTTTTTCTAAATGGAGACTGGTGGTGAGCACTATTTCAGGGCTGTTTCTGGTTAAAAAAAGGTCTATCTCTGTGGGGATGCTTTCCATAATGTTTTCTGAGCCTGTCAGTGCCAAAAACAAGCACTTATAGTGGACGTAAATTGACAATGCACAAATGACCCTAGTGTTACACTGCAGCCTGTTTCACTCAACAGGCCTGCTGGACCAGTATCAAAAATGATTGTCTCCATTAGTCACGTAGACACAAAAACACAAGGTCCAGGTTGAAAAATACTGAAGTTACTCTTTAAGTGAAAGTAGAGTGATTTTAAGGTGCTTCCAAAATGAATTTAAAACTACAACAGGTGTAACAGAAGGCTGACATTGAGAGGTAACCCAGGAATGACCTCACACCTTCCCTTTACACAAACACACACACACACACTGACTCCTTCTTCCAGCATCTTTCAGCAAAACAATGCAGCACAGTTCATTGTACTGTCCCCCTTCTAAGTGTATTCTGCCGGCGTAATTCACCACCGTGCTGCTCCAGTTCAGTCTGAATCACTGACATCCAGGACAATGTGGCTTCCTGCTAGGAGCCCACAATAACACACTCTATTTTTAGAGCTAGAAAGTTGCATCTGAATAAGCAAGTGTAAAGAATACATTCACCCTTTCCTGTTGTCAACACGGAGATGATGGAGCTTAAATAGCGTGAATTCCACATCGTCTCTGAACCAGTAATTTTCTTCTGACTGCAGCTTTTGAAACTGCTCATTTACTCATTTGTTGTTCTCTCTTTCCCGACAGTTTCTGGTCTGTGGGATGTGTGGAGTGCTGTGTGCTCGCAAGAGGACGGGTCTTATTGTGAGTACATGCATATATTTGCTGTCGTTGTTTTGTTCCCCTAAGACCCAGGAGCCATTTTTGTTGCCCCTTCTTATGTGTATTAGTCTGTAGTCTCTCTTTATAAACTGCAAACAGAAAATGCTTTCCAGTGACACAGTATGACACATGAAGGAGTGTTTAAAAGGAATAATTTGACATTTTGGTAAATATGATTATTTACCAGATGGAAGATCAATACCACTCTTATATCTGTACAGTAAGCTACAGCCAGCAGCCAGTTAGCTTCTCTTAAGACTGGAAACAAGGGGAAACAGCTAGCCTGGCTCTGCCTACCCAGTTTGAATTCATCACTCTAATTAATGGCCCTATTAGTGGATATCAGCGTTATAGATATAGGTTAGAGGGCTCTTGCTACAGAGTGTCATTATCAGCTCATTAAACCACAGTGTTTCTTGTAATGCAGCCATGGAGGAAGTCTGATGACGTAACGTTGGTATAAATAGTGACAGAAACCCTGCAAGGGGAGGCAGTCAAGGTGGTGGATGAAACAAACACAGGACTTTCAGCCAGAAAAGAAGGGTTCATGTCCTGTGTGCTGATAACAGCACTCTGAACATACTAATTGGTTTAGCAGAAGCCTTCTAAACGATACCTATAATGCTGATAACCACTAACAACTCATATTTAATAGAGTAATAACACTCAAAATAGATGCACCGTCTGTTTATCAGTCTGTCTAAAATCCATAGATCAATTCATTATAATTTGTTTGCACAAATCGAGTATGTGCCAAAGTATTATGTGGTCAGGGTGAGTAACTTCCTGTAGTCTGGTAGCCTGGCAGTTTTTCCCTGGCCAAGACACAGTCTGGCAGATTACCCGGATATATAACATGTTGATTAGTGAACATTTCGGGGGTTCTGGTGGGTTGATTTTACTTCCACTGTGCAAAAAAGAAGCAAAAATATCAATGATATGGCCACTGCCATCTTGTGCAGTAGCAGTCTCCATGGTATCGAGTTCCCACCCATACACTCGTTTGTCCAATCGCAAGCAGCTCCATTGATCAAAACCCCTTTTTATAGCAACAAATAACTAACAAATAACAATCAGAAAAATGCAAACTTGAAGACACATCAGTGTGATAAGAACTATCTAAAACGACAGACACCATCTTTGGGAAAATTCACTGGCCCATATCCCATTTGCCAACATGGAGGGGGTGGGTTTATGACCTATACTGCAGCCAGCCACCAGGGGGCGATCAAGATGTTTTGGCTTCACTTTTGGGGAAGCTGTCATTTCTTCATCTGCTGGCTGTAGCTTTAACAAACAGATGAGAGTGCTATTAATCTTCTCAAGAAAGTGAATAAACATGTATCCGAAAATGTTGAGCATTTTATGCTAGAGAAAAAAGGCCACTCTGTTGTAAAGTAGAAAATGTACATCTGAGTAATGTTGGACTTTTTTTTAATCTTTCGCCTCACTCGAACTCTCGTCTTCCACAGCTTTTGCTTGAATCGCAAGCTCTTGGTTGCGTCAATTCAAACAAACCTTTGCAGATTAGAGTTTGAGTTTGTGATGTTATCAGTGCCCTCTGTTGCAGATTTCATGATGCCAAATTCTAATTGGCAGCAAAATTCAGTTTAGATTCGGACACACAGCTTCCGAGATGATCAACATTTGTTGAGGCAAAAGAGCCTTTGAGAGATGATGAAGATGTAACCCAAATAATTATTCACTATTATGTACTGAGTATTTTCCTTTGACAGATTTATTTTGAACACCAAATACTGTCACTTTGATGCAAATATATGTGTACAGCCTGTTTCATGAATATTGACACGTATCTACTGTACTCCTGGAAGTTTGCAAGTAAAGACTGTCTAATTGTATCAGACACCCAAAGGTGCTGTGTGTGTGTGTGTGTGTGTGTGTGTGTGTGTGTGTGTGTCCTGTCCTGCAGGTGCATACAGTGTGCTCTGTAAAAGACATCTGAGGAAACCAGAGGAGACAAGCAGTCACCTCTCCTCTTTTCTTTCTGTCATTCCTTCCATCTTTTTTGCTCAGCGTTCGCGTCGCAGTCTCTCTGTGTCTCCGAGTCCTCTTGTTTCTCTCTGACTCTCTCTGTCTCCTGTGGGGAGGGCACTAATGATGGATCAATGTCAGCACAATCTGCTGTAACAGAGACATCCCTCAACCTTTCTCTCCCTCTGTCTCGCCCTATCGTATCCCCGCGTATTGTCTCTGTCGCCGTCTTTATCTTCGTGACATTCCCTTTTTCATCACTCCCATCCATCTACCTTCCATCTCCCTACCCTCACTGTTCAATCTCATTCTCGCCAGTCGTTTTGATGCTCTGACTCTCTCCATCTTCCTCTCCTCATCCCCTTCTATCCCCTCCCTCCTTGTTTGCCTGAGGGGTGATGATTGCATTAGGTTGGTTTGGCTCCGGAGTCCTGCCAGCCCGCTTTCCACACTTCACCGGGTAATGACTGAAATTGGAGAAGCCCTTTTCCATGCGGTTAAAGGCACTAAAGGCATCTGTACTGGGAGCAATGAAAGAGAGCCTGAACTCCAGACACAATACACACACACGTGCATACACATTATACAGGGAGTGATATTAAATCAATTGGATTTTCATACTTTGAATGCAAAGTAATGGACCTGCAGTCATTTTCCCATCAGATCCTGCTGGGAAACAAATTTGACTCCCATAATGGCTTTGAGTTTTCCAGCTGCTTTACTATTCTAACAAAGTAATCCGTAAAATTTGTTTGATTAAATAATGAAATGTATATCTCACCAACCGTCTACCACACAAATCACACACACACACACACACACACACACAAGCACTAAAACAAGTGAGTGATGCAAGCATATTTACGAGCCGTGCAATATTTCTGGAAGAGACAGTGTGCTTTGAGAGCGATCCAATTTTCTAATAGGAAATGAGATTTATTTTGACTGATACGCATTACTCATCAGAGCAGCCGTCGTCCAAAACAGCAGAATGATGGAGATGGAAGCTCAATAGGAGTTTGTATATCTCCCATCCCATCTCATTTTGTCAGTTTGTTTGTAGTTTTCTTGAGAGGATATCAATTCTGCCATTTGCATTAACATAAACCATTCTCTCCGTCTCTGTCCCTCAGATGATCCTGTTTTCAGCATGCTGTATCTGCGGTCTGATTGGTGGGATCCTCAACTTCCAGTTTGTTCGGGCACTGAACAAACGACCTGACTCCATGCAGTCAATCCATCTGGCTGCCATGACTCTGGCCTGTCTGGGTAAACAAGGAATTTCACCATGTGATGCAATGCAACACAACTGGACAACTCATTCATTAGCATTTGTTAATGTCTGTTGTATGTGACATGTGTATGCTATCGAAATATAGGAGGTTTGGTAGAATTTATTTCGACGACCTGTCTTATGGGAGCAGATACATTCAGAAGTTTAAAGTAAAGGTAAAGCACCTATCAATACTGCAAATTATCTTATCAGTATGCATTAAACTCATTGTAGCTCCACCTCCACCACACTTTTCTTTCGATTCTCACCTACAATTTGTGTCTTTTGCCACTCTTCATCTCTCTTAACAAGGCTAACAGTCTACAGCCATGCTAGCAGGTCTGATTTGCCAATGGCTCATTATTTCGAAATCCCAATATTCTGAAAATGTCCCATTGGACCAAAAGCCTGTTGGTCCGACAGCCCATTATCTGGAAAATAAACAGCCATTGCTCTGAAAATACACACTCCTGTACTTAGAAAGATTCATGACCTGCAATCGGCCTTGTTACAATATTTTTTTTCCTACTATGGCAAAGGCATGACATTGGCTTCTTTGGATTGGATTGAGTATTCTTACCCCATACATAACAAATCTTACTCCACTTGCCTAACTCTAACCAACCCAACCAACTGAGGCAATGAGCACTATCCAGTCAGAGAAAAAAAGCAACCTGGAATGGTCCCATGATCTGCTTGGGAGAATAATCGGCCTTTATTTTGGACTCAACAGGCTCTTGGACAAATGGGCTTTTGGTCCAGTGGGACATTTTTTGGACTATTGAGGTTTTGGAATAGTGAGCCGTTGGAAAACTTGGCAGTCCCCAGATTGATGAGGCTGTAGAGCATTGCTTTGAGCTAAATGCTAACTTCAACATGCTTAAATACTCACAGTGTCAATGCTAACATGCTAAGGTTTAGCAGGTGTGATGTTCAACATGTTCACCATCCAAATTAAGTGTGGTAGCATTTGCTAATCCGCACTATGCACAATGTAAAGCTGAGGCTGGTGGGACTGTCAGTAATTTTTTATGTTGTGGAAAAGTCAAAATAGGTTACCTATGTTGGCCCCAGATGGATCCCCAGGGGGACATAACCATCTGTGCCAAAGTTCAAAGAAATCTGTCCAATAATTGTCAATAAATTTCAATAGATACGTGAAAATGTTGCCCGACTGGTGGTGGTAAAGGAAAAATCAGGGGATCATCAAAGTCAGTTGGATTCTTCCTCTCTGGAACATGAACGTCTTTGCAAAATTTCATGGTAATCCATTCAGTAGTCATTGAGATATTTTAGTTTTGACTGTAATGATGGACCAATCGACCAGCCAACAGACTTAAATTGCCATGATTTAGCCTACCCACATCAGACGCGCTACTAGCATGGCAATAAAAAGTATAAACTACTAAAGATGGACAGCCCACTCTTCCTTAAAAATAAAAATTCTTCCACTGTTTCTCCAGCTGGTTTCCTTTTTCCTGTCTTGTCCAGGGATCTCTTCCTGTACCTTATCCACGTGGCTTACCTGTCGCCTGGCCAGCTCCGAGCAGCAGAGGATGTTCCTGGAGAGGGAGCACTCGCTGCACCACTCGCACGAAATGACTGAGAAGGTAGGATGTTACAGCAGAGGAGAGCTTCTAATTGGTCAGCTTACACAGTATGGCCTTAAGTTCCAACAGTACAGAAAATGTATGTTTTATGACCCAGGAGAATTTTTAAGTTTGTGTTGTGGTAGTGTATGTTAAGCATAGACTGTATAAAATAATGGACGTGGCTACCATGACGTCATCCGTTGGTTTGTGGACTCATGTTTTGAAGCCTCAAGTTTGGCATTTCAGCCGTCACCATCTTGGTTTTTTGGAGCAGGAAGTGACAAAAGTTGTAATGAACAAGGAAATAAGCTACAGAGACAAAATGTTTTTTGTACCAGGCTGTAAATATGTATATTTCTGCTGTAAAATTGGGCATTTTAACATGAGTGTCTCTGGGTATCGACTCACTTTGGGGGCCAGCCTCAAGTGGCCATTTGAGGAACTGCAGTTTTCGGCACTTCTGCGTTGGCTTCATTTTTCAGCTCTGAATCTTGCCACTTGCTGTTAATTTAACAAGTGTCCTTGTGTGTCCCTAGGAGATCCTTGACAACTCCAGTAACGGCATTCCTCAGATCTCCTACAACGGACACACCACAGCGTCACCATGACAACGTGTCACCAAATGCGACTTGCACACACTTAAATAGAGACGGTTCACAAATCGCTTGCTATCAGGCAACAAATACAGCATGTACTTCTTTCTACACATCCTGCGGCATACGCAGTGTCTATATCCTGACCGCAGGGAGCGAAACCAGGGACGCCTTTTCTGGGCCGCTGGAGTAAAAGAAGGACATTTTGACAACAAGGGGAAGGTGTTTGTGCTTCTGAACAGTTATGCAAACACGGGTTCAAACCCCCTCTGATCAACTCAAACCAAAGCCGCGAGGGAGAGCTGCCGTTTGGGTCATGATTCAGGTGACAAACATCTGCGTGACATCATCTGACCTTTAAACTAATAAGCAGGATATTTTATAATGCAATGAGATGCCTCAATGTGATGAGCACAAACAGAGCATGCAGCTGATTCACTTGAAGAGCTACTGCTATTTCAGACTCAGTGTCTTTATTCTCTCTCTCTGTCTTGTTAAGGATTTATGGAATGCAGATCTTGGGATAGCCCACAGTAAACTGTATGTATCGTCCGATAATGGAATGCTTTGATATGAAATACAGTGATGCGCAATGTACTGTACCATATATCTATGCTTGTATATCAGGAATCTAGTCGTACCTATAAATCAAACATATTTTTATAAATGCTTCTTATTAAAGTGAATTCAATTAAAGTATGATAAACCTGAGTGATGATTTCTCTTACATGGATTATTGCAGTAGAATTGAGTGTGATGTTTTTATTGCCGTGCATCAGTGTGTGTCTCTATTTGCATGTTTCTGTAAGTATGCAGGTGTTTTGAGTTATTACTTAGCTAGCTGCCCACTCACAGAATTTTTAATCAGTACGCTAAACGTTAACCTTTTCTATAAATGCATGCAGTAAATCTTAAAAACCAAGTGTACAGTATCACACATTGATAAACTGCGCACCACTGTGTCAACATAATCAATGTGGATCAAGATTTAAGAAGTCAGTGCATTCCAACGGGACCACAGTTTATCTCAGTGATGCCTTTGGCTCCGCTCGAGGTTCACACACTTATCGTAAAGTTAAGTGATGAAGTAAATCTGTTTTATAGCACATCTCAAACCCCCTTTCATGCAATGATAAACAATATCACATACACTCACATGCATGCACACGTACAGACACGCAGCTGTGACTTCTAATGAAGATATACAATTCCTCTGACAACATCACGCTGCTCAATACCTCATTATGGTGCTTGCCATGTGTGAGTGTGTGTGCGCGTGCGTGCGTGTGTGTGTGTGTGTGTGTGTGTGTGTGATAACTAGGGCCCACAGCAGCAGAAGCCACTGGGAGCTCTTGCTGACTAAGAAACCACGTCACAATTTATCACCGTGACAACAGACAGGAGTGGGCCATGGCGCCCAAGAGAGCCCCAGATCTGCACCGCACTATGTGTGTGTGTGTGTGTGTGTGTGTGTGTGTGTGTGTGTGCGTGTGTGTGCTGAATCATGTGACCTCCTGTCATGCTGTTCTGTCAGAATACAGTAACACTAGACTATGTGTGTGCAAGTGTGTTTTTCTATGCGTGTGTGTGTGTGTGTGTGTGTGTGTGTGTGTGTGTGTGTGTGTGTGTGCCCACGTGTGCATAGATTGCACTAATTGACACCTCAGGTCACCCTAATGATCTTCATGTGCCATCACAGGTGAGAACAGGATACAGAATCAATGACCGTCTCTTATCAGACGAACAGCTTTACAACATCCTTGTCAGGGTAGGCGGTGCACACCTTGCAGTTTACATAACCAAAGGGCATGTTGGGGAGGAAATGCATCGTTTTCAGTGGTTTACATAACAGGAAAGATCCATGTCACTTATCAAAATACTGTCCTCAACATTTCTCTCCAAGAACCCATTTAGTAAAGCTTTTTGTCAGTGGATGTGGTTTATTGTAGGACTGAATGCAGGGAGCATCGTTGGATTTGCCTGCTGGCTGTGCCCTGCTGGACCCCTTTTAACCCTCTGTTAACCTCCTGTTTTTCTGTGCAGTGTGTGCTGTATCACTGTGCTAGAACATTACATGACTCCCAGATTTTCTGTCCTACTGATTAAGCACAATTCAGTTTGCTTAAATGCACCAAGTAAGCACAGCATCGCCTGAAATAATGTTCTAAACTCTAGATTTAGTTACAGTTAATCACATTACCACAAACCAGTTGCCATATTGTGAACATGAGGCTTTCAGGGGCCTCTGGAGCCTCACCCGCTCAGGTGTCAATTAGTGCAAATGCTGAGGCATTTACTTGAGTACTTTCATTTTGCAGCATTTAAAAGCATACTAATAATATAACAACACATTTTTTTATATAGCACTTTTCAAAACAGACGCTACAAGTTGCTTCACATAACAATGAAAACAAGTAAATGAAGCAAGAGTATAAACAATGAGGTATCTGTAAATAATAAAGTGGTAAAACAGAGTGATAAAAACAAATAAATATACATAAATGTGTATAAATATGTACATGCAGATAGGCAGGTACATAAAAGGAAGCATCTGACATGCAAATTAAACAGGTAAAAAAATGTATTATTATATATTTTTTTAAACTCACCACTACAACAGCACATCTTTAAATGTGGCTACATGTTTATAAGTCAATAATTTAACCATTACAGGTCTTACTAACACATGAGGAGTTATACAGAGCCTATTTTCTGTTGCTATTAAGGGATGGTTTACTTTAATTTTCAACCACAACAGTAAAAAAATGTAATTAATTATTAAATGCATTCGTTTTGATAATTAAGTCAAAGTCTTTTTGTTTATATGTGTAAATATTACTGTTATTTAAATAACTGATGCTGTACCTGTACTGTATTTATATTATTATTTGGTTGTAATTCCTCCTCCTGGCCAGCAGGTGGCAATATAAACAAATATTTGACAGCCTTCCTCAAAGCGGAAGTGGCCTGTCTTTCATTTTCCGGTCTTCCCAAACAGCATGGCGAACTTGAAGCATGCAGAAGACGAACCAAAACATGTGAGAATGTCAGGTGAAGTATCCGCCACCGGCGCTGAAGTCACGCCAACAGAGGAGTCCTCTTTACCGGGCGGAGGTGCGGGCGCGCTCCCGTGCTCCGTCCCGTCGTTCGCGGCCGCCTCAGAGCTGCTGTCAGCGCCGTACTCGTGTCTGGTGATGAACACGCACCGGAGACACGTCGCCCTTCCGCCCGTGTACCTGAACAAGAAGAGGACAGGTATTCAGGAGGAGCTGGAGGCCGAGCTGCTCAAGTTCTCTCAGAGGTAACGACACCGGGCACCGGACGCTGCCTCGGCTCTGTCGACATGGCAGCCATTTCGTTAGCCGTTAGCTAGTAGCGTTAGCATTTAGCATTTGGTTTGTAGTTACTGTAAGTTTTCACCTCCCTGTCAGTGCTGATGAGCTGAAGACAAGGTTTGGCTCTGGCAGTGGTGCAGAAAGTAACGTCATCCTAAAAGTATCTAAAGTAAAAGCCAGTGTCAGTGTTACACTACGTTATTATGTCATTATTAGTGTTGCATTGCTGTGTTTACAACATTTGAGACTGCAGCCAGTAAGTAAAGCTGATTTTACTACTTTGTACTATTTTTTAGTTAACCCATATTTAACCAGGTGAGTCCCATTGAGATCAATAATCTCTTTTACAAGGGGAGACCTGGCCAAGACAGCTGCACAGAAAAAGTTACAGCCAAGTAACCACACTATAAAAAACATAAAATATACTCAGTATCAAGTAGAAGTGTCCTTATGAGAGCTTTAAAATCAGGAGGAGAGACCAGTTTATGTAGTTTCAAAAGCTTCAGATCTTTTCGAGGGTTATTCTAAGTGAGAGGAGCAGAGCACATAAAAAAATGTGTTAAATTTTAGTCTGTGCATCACATTTTGTGTGTAAACTTCTCGCTAACTAGTTACTAATGCTGTCCAAGAAATGTCATGGGATAGAAAGTTAAAGTCTCAATATATCATGTGGATCTGTGTCGAACTGATTCAGCTTTACCTGTTTGACCCGTGCAGTCTAAAGGGAGTACCCCTGGCTTACGACAACATCAGGATAGTGGGCCAGCACGGAGCCATCTACAACGACAGCGGCTACATCCACATGGACATAGAGGCCAACTTTATCGTCTTTCAGCCCCGAAAAGGACAGACACTGATAGTAAGTTTTGGCATTGGCGGGTAAACTCTTAAACTCTCTGTGTGAACAATAATGATATGCAGAACATTCTCTTCGTGTGATTAGATATTCATAGGGCAAAAAACAAACAACAACATTAATATAATCTTAATATCTGGCCCACTTTTATTCATGTAAATGTGTTTCTACTTTGTCTCTCTTCCCAGGGTAACGTGAATAAACTAGGAGCAAGCCACGTGGGCTGCCTGGTGCACGGCTGCTTCAACGCCAGCATCCCTAAACCCAACCTGGTGTCTGTGGAAACCTGGCGGGACGCAGGGCCCAGAATCGGAGCAGAGCTGGAGTTCGAGGTGACTACACTTGACGCTGACACTGCGGGGGTGCTGCTGATCAGAGGACGGCTGAACAGGACCAGGCAAGTGTGCTGTGGTGGTTGCTGGATGAGGATTAAAGTAACCTGCGTTCTCTTGGTAGGGATAGGAGTCAAGAACCAGTTTCATGGAGTAATTGTCCAAATCGTCTAAGCTTATCGAGTCCTTTTATCAATGCTGGCATGTATTTCTGACAGTTGACAATGATGTTAAACTGCTGGAAACTAGTTGCAACAAGAAGTCATAACAGAGAGGAAGAAACAGTCCGACGCGTGGCTATATTTGACAAAGAAAGATGAACACAGTGCTGCATCAAGTCCATGTTTCACCTCGGCAAATCACACCTGCACTTGATGTAGGATTGTGTTTGATGACATGTCTGTCGTGAAAGCAGTTTTCAGTCGCTGTTACTTGTAATGTCGGCATTCAACTGAGCTGCAGAGCGGGATTTTAACTTTGTTTGTGACAGCAGAAAACAATTAAAAGTAGGGGTGTAATGGTACACAAAAATCTCGGTTCGGTACGTACCTCGGTACACAAGTCACGGTTCGTTTTTTTTTTTGTTTTTTTTTCAGTACAGTAATGAAAGAAATAGACAACTATTTAATATATTTTACTTATTGGTAACCTTATTAAAACATACCACCACAGCAGTTAACTCTTTTTACACAATTTGTGAATGAAACAAATATATATAAAATCTTGCTTTTTCACATTGTTTGAATGAAAATAGAAATATAAAAGTGAAAAATAAAATCCTGCTGTTTTTTTAACACATTTTTTGAATGAAAAATATAAATATACATTTCTGCTTTAACAGTTTTACTCAATTAAAATAAAAAGTATAGTGCAGCTGGTCAGCTTTAAAGCCTGCTCAGATTCAGATTTACTAGGAACCTACTTAGCTTTCCCACTTTGTTAAAGTGCAGTAAACAAAACATGCTTATATCTAAAGTGCAGCTTAAACAATTTTACTCAACTCCAATGGCGTTGGTTATTTCTTTAGCACGATGGTCAGGGAAATGCTTTTTCTTTTTAAACGACGATGATATCGTAGTTTGCACCAGATTGCTTTTTCTAGTCGTGCCGGTTAACGTTCAAACTCGGGTGGTGTTGCTTTAGATGCTTTAGCTTGTTAGACGTGTTTTCAAGTACATACCCGACCGCTGTTCTGCAGTGTCGGCACACTGCTTTTGTCTTGTCAACTTGTTTATTTCCATCTTCGTATTTTACCCTGAAACCAAAGTGTTCCCAAACGGAGGACTTAAGGTTTGCGGGTGGGTCTTCAGGTTCATCAGTCTCACTTGCCATGTTGTCAAAATGCGAGAATGCGCTGCACAAAGTGAAAGCGGAGACTCGGTCCGTCACTCAATTATGTCCGTCAGGGAACTAGATATTTTAAATGGTTCGGCTCGCAAAAACGGAATTAAAATAAAACAAAATAAAATAAAATAATATTCTGCACCCAATAATTCGGTACAGGGTCGTGCCGAACCGAAAGTCGCGTACCGAATGGTTCGACACAAATACATGTACCGTTACGGCCCTAATTAAAAGTTGTGTAGGTGAGGAAAAGTTCATCATTTTTGATAGGATGCTTCTCTCTCAAGGCAGTACAGCTGTTAAGATTTGTGTCAAAATACCTGCGCTTGTTATTCTCTATGTTAAGTCCTGCGCACAGGCAGCGTCTGGGTGCACGTTGATTCTCCAGAAAAGCAGCGGTTTGATCACATCCGCTCCCCGGATCCGCTCCCCGGATCGCCACATTGGCCACCATAGTGCGACTTCTACTTCTGTCAGTATTGTGACTCCAACGTGTTTTGCCTGCCATCCTCAATTGTAGAAAAGAGAGGAGAGAAGTAGAAGAAATCTGCAATCTTTATACAGCTTTCTTTTGTTGATTGTTTTTCTGTTTTAGTCTAAAAATATGTCAAACAGTGGTGAAAAAGACTCAATAATTTCCCAGAGCCCGAGGTGATGTCTTCAGGTTCCTAAAGATATTTAAATTGATTGGATGCTGTCATCTTCTTTGCCCAATTTAGTTTGCAGCTGCACCTACTTGAAAGTTGCCGTTAAGCCCTTGATTGATTACTCTGTTTTGTGTGTGTGTGTTTCAGGGTGCAAGAGCTGCTGGCCTTGTGTGAGAGCTCAGAGTCAGGCGCCCCCGCAGACCAGCCAGAGCCACCAGAGACAGAACCGAACCCAGAACCCACAGAGGAGTCTCCTGAAGACACCCCCAAGAAGAAGAAGAAAAAGAAGAAGGACAAAGTCAAAGAGGAGGAGAGAGAAGGGGAGGTGACAGGTACACCCTCCTGCCAGCTGGATGGCAACACGACATTAGAGCTGAACGGAACAGTGAATGAGGCAGACGGTGAGAAAAAGAAGAAGAAAAAGAAAAAGGAGAAACATGTGAAAGAAGAGGAGGTTGAGGTTGAGCTCTCTGCAATGGAGGTCCACGGCAGTGACTCGAGCGGCTATGTTAGTGACAAGCCGAGCAAAAAGAGGAGACGTGAAACTGGGACAGATGTCACATCTGGTTTTAGTGAAGGTCCTGAAACACCAAAATCCAAGAAGAAGAGGAAAAATGACATTGAGCAGTTTGCCTGAAAAACGGATCATATATTGAGTTTAACAATCGAGGTGATACAACATTAATTCTGGATAAGTATAGAGATGTGCCTTAACGATTAAACAAAAGTTTAGCAGGCAAGATTTCTGGTGGCTTATTGTTAGTGCGTCTAAAATCATTCAAGCACAGAAGTCTTTCTACAGTCACATGTTGTAGAGCAGACTTGACAGATTTGTCCTCACTGGGTTGCAATGCCCCCACACAGCCTGATGGGGGAGCAAAACTGCCTCATACATCCACACTGGGACCCAAAAACACAGGAACAAAACCTTGTCAGCTTCATCCGTTAAACACGGTGCTGAGATGAACAGGGCAGGTCTTTGCATTGAATTTACAGAGCCAGTGGGGAAAACATGAGTTGATATTAATGTTCTGTACTTTGGTATATATTCAGCTGCTTGGATACTGGAGAAGAATGGCTGTGAGCCTGAGTTCAGTTTAAGAAACTTCTGTTTTTTATTGCCTCATGTGCCTGTTTGAAAAGGTTGTCTAGTAACAGCTGCAAGGACAAACGTGTTTTTACACCCAAATATCCAGTCAGCGTCCTAGACATGTGTCATGCTCAGTGACAGGCAGTGCAGTCAGGAATTATTTGTGCTGTTTCACTTTCTTCCTTCACTGCTGCATTGACTTTTCACATGCAAAAAGTGAACATTTAATATTCACCTCTCATCCCAATTAAAGAGCTCTATATTTTGACATGTTTACCCTGCTTCCATTTTTTTCAAGACAAAAGGGGTCTGCAAAAATCCCCACTTTAGAAATCTACATTGCTTTGATTCTAAGAAAAATACACCTCTTAAATGATTATAATACAAAGATTTCTTGTTTTTCATGGCAAGTTTCCTCCCACAACACTCTTTTTTTGCTGGCCAGTGGGTGTCGAGTGATAAAGTGCTGAGAGACAGCCTAAAGATCTTTGTGTTTTCTTTACCCCCACCTCCCCTCACCCACCACACACGCACACACACACACACAGAGTCCTGCTGCCTTTCAGTGGGGAGTCTCATTAGCTGTGAGGTGCCAAAGGTTTGAGAGCTTATCAGGATCTGCCTAAAGAGGAGAGATAAGGAGCTGCAATTAACTTGGCTCATCTTCATCTGTCACACCTGATCACGTACATCTGTGCTTTATAATTAAAAGCCATTTATAATAATAACTGCAGATCTGAAGGCTTATTAGAGAGTGAGACACAGAGGTATTTATGAGATAATTCATTATTAGAAACACCTATATTCCCTTTGTTGCAGAGCATTAGATGAAACACTGATAACACTTGCATGCCTGTACGGTAAATATGAAGCAGCAGCCAGTTAGCTTATCTTAGTATACGGTCTGGAAGCTTGCCTGGCTTATTTTAGAGATGAAAGAAAATGCAACAGATCACGTCTAAGTGTTAGCACAACCATTTAATATTTTACGGGGGGTGTCTCTGCTGATTGCCTGGCAACTGATCATTGCCAGAGAAAGCAGGCCAACCCAGAAATTGGTGTTGTGTTGGTTCCCTCGTTAAAGGGCCTGTGGGACTTTTTCGGATCACAACAGTAAATAACTTCTGTGGCAAACAAATGTTTGATACCTACATGTTTTGCTCAACAAGATCAAATTCACAAATGAACACTTTTAATTATTGAAGCCTAAATGCAATCGTCAGCTTTAAAAAAGCTAATGTTAGGCTATAAAATTAGCAACCGGCTTTTATAAAGACGTCAAAAGCTTCAAAATTCATGTGAGGTGATTAAGTATTTTCTGTTGCAGAGGAAAATGTGAAAGTCTCTTAAGATTGTGTTTACCGCATGTCTTATTTTAGGCGTCCAACCAAAATCCCACTGACTTTATGAGGGAACCGGGAGTGCTAAAATGCTAACTCATGTCCATGTTTTTGGAATCATTCCTGCAGCATGTTATTGCTATTGTAACCCAAAAGTTGGTGTTAATAATCACTTTTAACTCATCTTTAAAGTATTAGTGAACTAGTCCATACCCATTATGTACAGCATACCATACCATGACTTAGTCATACCAAAAAGTAGGGGAAAAAAACAACAACATTGGTCCACAGGGGGAGCCACAGCGATCGGTCACATTTTAGCCATTTTTAAACATTTTTCTGTTATTATAGCGCCACCCAGTTGCCAATTAGAGTTAAATTTCTCCAGTCACCTTGAGGCGTCCTGTTCTACATATCTACCAAGTTTAGTAAAAATCAATATGGCGGTTAGGCCTAGATAAGAAATTAGCTCTCTAGCGCCCCCATTTTGTTTGATAGGGTCAATAATGGAGGGGTCCCCTCAGATTATGTGTGGTCATATGCCTACAAAGTTGCGTGGTGATGGGTGAAACCCTTGAGATGTTATACACCTTTATGTGATGAGCCACGCCCTCTGCAATATTCATTGCCTTATAGAAGCTCAGTTTTAGTAAGTTTTCCAACTTTTGCCAAGAGGGAACTTTAGATATTGGTCCCTAGATTATGTTCACCCAGTTTCATGCAGATCGGTCAAACTTCCTAGGGAGAGATCGACTTTAAAGGGCCAGTGTGTAAAATGGGTTGAAAACAGTGACATCAGTGGTCAAATTCTAGATTGCAGGGCTCACTCGCTCACCCCTCCTGTCAGGTAAATGACAGCGGCCTCGTAGGGACAAAAAGCCTTGCGCACGACTTTTTCAGGAGTAGGTCTATCTAGCCACGAGGTGAATGTTTATTTAGAAATCTAAACCATGTTACGATATTGTAATGAATCCCTCACGAGCAGGAGACCAGAGGAGCGTTCGGGAAAAAGGCCTGTTTATTTGAGCACTCCAGAAACTCTGGTAACACACCACTCCGTTCCAAACTCTGACTCTTCTAGCATAACAGACACACTTCATGACTTTACACGCATACACGTTTACTGTGCTGAGTGGGGACCCCCTCCCCTCTCTGCTCTGCCAATCTCCAGCCCGCACACTGACTGACAGCGTAGCCGGTAAACAGAGCTCAGCTGTTTATTTAGCCTAGCAATATCTCCGGACTATAGTAGCTGCAATGGACGACTTTGAACGCGATTTTGAAGAGTTTCTTGTAGCGGACACAGACCCAGAGCCATACCTGTTTGAGCCAGAGCATACAGATGAGGAACTCCATGTGTTTGATGCTGAGCGGGTGAGAAGAGAGGCTGAATGCACAGAATGGGATTCGGTGCTACTGCTGCCATTGTTGGGGAGATATATCATCAGGAGGAAAAGCGCCGCAGAGAGTGCATCACAAGGAGTGAAGCTGCGTCTTCTTTTCCTCGCAGATGACGGTTTGGGTTCATTCTCTCCTGTTGCGTGGTAAGTGTGGTCCATTCGCAAACTTTATAACTAAAAAAACTTTTCACTACTCTCTATCGACGAACTACTAACACTCTCTGCTGTTTCTTCCTCCTTCTTCCTTCCTTCCACTGTCTTCGTTGGTTCATTTATACACGCGAAACGTGTTCTCTGGCTGGCTGGATTGTCCACTCGGTCTGCCGTACATACATGGCGGCGCAAGATGGCGACCTCTCTAAAGCAAGGCCCTTGCAATATATATATATAAAAGCATAATTATAAGGCTACGAAAACCAAACGAATTTTATTTTATAGCGATCATACACTTCTATAAACATATTAATGGGTAGAATATTCAGATTCAGATTCAGATTGACAATAAACCATGCCAAATATTACACACTGGCCCTTTAAGTGTTTTTCAAAAAATTCAAAATGGCGGACAATCTATATAACCGGAAGTTAGGGGTTCTTGAGGCAAATTTGTTCCTCATGAGGAGAGGCATCTCTGTGCAAAGTTTCATATCTCTATGACATACAGGGCATGAGATATGCCCATTGAAAGTTTGCAATTTCAATCGGTTGCTATAGCGTGGAACAGACACACACACAGACAGAGTTTTTGTCATTATATAGTAAGATTATGTATTAACAGCATATAAAGGCATGGTTACAAATTATAAACCCTTTATAAAGTGTGTGATGTAAAAGTGGTACTGTGGGATAGCTAACTGCCATTAAGGTTCAGTCTTTACTGCACCGGCCCACCTGCCTTTTACTCAGTCACTCTTTCTCTCTCACATGTTCCCTATCAAAATGAAGAAGCAATGTCAAAAATAAACAGAAAAGAAAGTATTAAAGTAAGATTTTAGCTCCTAGTGAACTAACTCATTGGCTTGGGCTAACCCTGCTTCCAACCGAACTCACACACATGCACAAAATAAACAGATCAACGCTCATGTTACCCAGATTTTAGCCTTCAGCAGAGCAACATTAACTCCATTTAAAACTTCAAATCACTCAGTCATTACAAATTGCTCCCAGGACGCTCTGAATGACCTCAAATTGTGCAGCCTCCACTGTTTCAACTGTACAAATACACAAAACACTTGGAGCTTGTAATTTTAAGCTGAAGCACTTTAAAAACAGTGATCTCAAAGTTTCAAGTGGACTTTAAATGGTTCACTGTCAGTTGTCCTCCCATGACCCCCCTCCGCCTTTATCACTGTTATGCCTGAATAAAACCTCAGTCTGTGTGCACCTCTCCTGCACCTGTACCCCCTCCCTCCATCAACACTCATTTATCTTGTCATTCCTCCTATCACTCCCTCACCCAGACTCCCCCTCTTCCCCTATTCTGCTTTCTCTCTTCCTCCTACTTGTCTCCCTGATTTATAGGAGGCGGTGTGCAGTTCACACACATTCCACTTCTGACACACACACCCCCTCCTGCCACTGGACTCTCATATCTAGGCACGGTCGTTTGTCTTCATGATCCTCCGATGGAGAGAAGAAGGAGAGGGAGGGCGAGAGACAATAGGAGGAGTGTTTTTGTTGCGCGGGTCAGACTATCTTTTCATACACCTCCGTCTGCCTCTTGCTGCCTCTCAAGGAGTAGTCTCTGATGTGTGTGTGTTAATGTGTGTGTAGATTGGCTGTGTGTCTCTATCTCCTGTGTCAAAGTTTCCAGGCCTGGCGGCTCCTACATGAAAGAGCCCCTGAAGTCTTTATAGAGAACAAACGGCTCCCTGACGCAATGCTCCAGGTTCAGGAAGGACACACACTCACACATGCACACGACGACCCATGCCACACACTCACTGGCTCACTCACTCACTCATTCACTCATGCAGACACACCACATCCACAACCCACAATCCACAAATCCCCATCCTTGCACACCCCCGCTGGCCAGGCCTAATTAGTTATGTGGTCGGCACTCTGCTCTATCCCAGAGCCCCAAATGGCAGCAGGTCATAAAACCTTAAGTGTTCCACCAGTCAGAGCCGTGCAACTGTGGCCATATATCCTCCAACGCGGCCCAGCCAGGGCTGACTCGTATCAAGGCCCATCTCTCACAGGCCTACTGACATCCATGAAATCCCTTTATGGCATTTTCAAAGGCATTTCTAAGAGATTTCTGGCACTTCTGCTTTGCATCTCTGTTTTTTATGCTCCCTCAGGTAGGAAAATAGCCTGAGCTCACACAGCGTCAGACGGGCTCAAGCATTAAACTCTTTCCCAAGGGATCAGTGTCCACACAAGTGTACAAGAGCACATGCACACACACTATTAACCCCAAAAGTAAACGTTACTTTCAGCTGGTGAGTTGGATTCCCATAGTTTGTTTCCCTGGCACCCGACACCTACCGTCCTGCCCTCGGTAACCCTGGCGACGACAGACGGG